TAGTTGCCTGCATGTAATGTGGTGTTTCATCCGACACTTGGAGCGAAAATTTTGCCGGAGGTGTTACTACATCATCGGACATACCCATAAAAATCCAATCACCGGCTCTTGATCTAGCCCTTCTCCTGAATGTTTTTAGATTCCTAAAATTTTTCAAAGTCTTCTTGTTAGTTCTGTTCTTGATTCCGGTATCCCAGTATTTAACAGGCAGTCCATTAACTTCCGATCCACGAGTTGAAGAAGTCAATGAAAGGGTTTCGTCACATTCACTCCCATACTGATGACACACATCATAGAAAACACCAAATCTTAGATATTGTCCAAAAGCTAGCAATTCTGTCTCAAGCACTCAAATCCCAAGTACAAAAGAGTAAATAAGCACAAAAATATATAAAATCTTGAGAATGCCCAGAAGGTGCTCTACTATTAAACCAATAAGATATAAACAAGTACTACTGTTTCAAGGAATTAATTTTTTTTTTTTTTCCTTCAGATCATCATAGTTGTTAAATACCCAGAATCTAAAATAATGGAATTAATGCTTTATATACATGAAAATGGAATCAAAATCAATTTCAAGAAGTTGAACTTACAGGAGAATTTTCTTTCTTTCCATCAGAATCGGTCGTGGCCCTCGTGTAATCTGGCGATGAATCACAAGACTCCATTAAACTAGCTTTTGCTGCAGGCTTAAATAATTTATAAATCAATCAGAAATCTCTTCAAGAAAATTCAACTGACATCAAGGCCAAATAAGATTTTTACAGAAACAAGAAGAGGACAAATATTACATTACCGAAAAAAAAACTACAAAAAATTTTAGGATAATATGACTGAAAATGCTATAGATTCCAAAGTGGTTGGCGTTTGTTTTAAAAATTTGAGCAGTAAACAGCAGCTTACGTTTGAAAAATAGTTGTGTTTGAACTTGTACAAATTGGTACGTTTGACTTAGCTACCATTTCTTTCCGAGTTGACTCACTTTCTTTGTTCAAAGGATTTTTAATTGGGAATGAACTTAAACAAAATTATTGGATTTTTTCCATTAAACTTCTGAATTTGAAATCAAAGTGGGAGCCCTGTCTTGTGAAAAGAACATGTGGGACAGTTGTTCTATATCAGTATAATTGAATAAATGGTGTAGGTGAGAAAATACAGAACTGTTCTTTCGCAATTGTCTAAATTCTAAACGCGTGGACCAAACTCTAATTTCTTCCCAGCTGTTTCTCGTCAATTACACCGCTGAATGCGATAGGAGAAATTTGTGTTGGAAAGTTTAGGTTGACTGTGAAACTTGTTCACATATAAATTGAGAAAACTAACTCGTAACTCTGGTCGATTGTCTTACAATTTTTAATTTATGTTGTTTTATCAAGAAAGCATAAAAATATGAATAATTTTTTTTTATTTATGTTGATGTTATCATGAACGTCAAAAAATTATGCTCAAATATTCGTTAGATACGTTATTGAAAAATACCTTTTTTTTTGGTTTAATTGAATGTCTTTTTCAAAAGATCATAATGGTCTTATTCATATAATTATTCTATAAGGAAATTTTAAGTATACCATATAAAATCCTAACTTAAAATATTAATGAAAACTACCATAGTCAAACTTTGACCAAAGGAAAAACAAATCTAAAACTATAGGATAATATTAAAATCATAAAATTATCAAAATAGTTGATAATTTTTATGCATATGTGTGGCCCTTATGTTTTTTTTTTAACTCTTTTTCAATCACATATTCACTCGTAAAATAATATTACACAAACTCAAAAATTTTCATTATTTTTAACCATACATTCTCTAATAAAATAATATTTCAAAATACATTTTGACCCAAAATGGAGCCCGAACTAGGGCTAAACAAATCACAATTGCATTGAAAATACTCTTAGAACCACCTTCTAGAGTGAAATTTATAGAGTCGGTTAATTCTCGACGCAAACATGGTATCAAGTTGGTGGGGTTAGTAACCCAAATGGTCAATGAACTTTGCAAAAAAAAAATAAAAAATTACGAGGTCACTAAACTTTAAAAATCACTCCATTCGTCACTGAACTTTGCAAAAGATTTCCACAGAGTCATTGAACTTTGCAAAACATTTCCTAGGGGATCTCCTAGAAATTTTTTTTACAAAGTTTAGTGATGAATATAATGATTTTGAAAATTCAGTAGCCTCGTGAGTGGAAACCATTTATAAAGTTCAGTGATCCGTGAAAACTTTTTTCAAAGTTCAGTGATGACTTAAGTGATTTTAAAGTTCAGTGACCCCATCAAAACTTCTTGTAAAGTTCAGTGATCATTTAGGTTATAAAATCCGAGTTGGTGTAATGGGCACATCCATGTGTGAAGCGTACTCGTTATATTGTTTTGAATACTTATTAATTTTAATTATATTTTAATTGAGGTCACCTTGTCATGCTGCTAGCAATGGCTCAATTGGGCTACCAAGTAATTCTGGTATCTTTAATTATGTTGAATTTCTGGAATGTCGATTGGTCCTCTGTTCATACTTCTTTTCTTGTGGTGATATCGTCTATTTGGACCTTTTGGTACAATCTTCTCGATATTGACGGGATATAACAGATCATAATGGTTAATTTGTTATGATTGGAAAAGAAGACTAATAAGCAAATTTGAGTTTATTCTGCAAGGGTTAAATTGAAAAGCATTTTCTTGGATAAAAATTTTATTCTATGCCATTAAAAAAACGAAGAGTTACTTTCTTGGATAAAAAATTTATCCTATGTCTATTGATCTATGAACATTTAAAATTTTTAAAGGAATTATCATCGATATTCTATCAAAGAGGAAAGAAATAAAGTAACTGATTCGTTAGTTACAAAGGGAAGAGAGTGATGCTGCTTTCAGGAGTATGGTGCTCTTGAGCTATCTCAAGTACTTCGCATTTGTACCATAGTATGATTGGACTAACAAGTCATTTCTCTCAAGTTTAGATGCCTATAGGATTTTTGGTTTCCTTTTTCACATTTGTACCGGAGGTATTACTCATATATTGCTTTCAATATTAATAAAAAAAAAAAAACGGATGGGGCGATGGGACCCTCAAGGTTGGCGTTCAACCTGCTTTCAATATTTATTTCTTTGACTAGAGGTTCGGCATATGCCCATTCGTTGTATTCATTTGTTTTCATCTATATTATGGTAAGAGAATCTTAGCTCCTCTTCTTGTCTTGGTGGAAACTGGAAACTAAAAAATAAATGGGGACTATGTTGGTGCTTTATTAAAAAAAAAATTAAAAAAAAAAAAAAATCTTGTCAAAATAATTTATCTATTTGTTAATAAAAGAATAAATATTGTTTGTCTATATTAGAAATAATCATATTGTTAAACGATTGCACTACATGTACATAACAATTTATATAATAATTTACCAACAAATAATGTGATGAGATGTAATTAGATCAAAATCCCATAAAAAAAAAAAAAAAAACTTTTCCACTTACATTTTAACACCTCATTGTTATATAAAACATTATGTAAATAATTATGTACAATAAGCATGGTGTTTAACTTCAAATGGACTAGCTAGCCCAATTGGTCGAGGTGTATGATTTAAGCTAGTTGCAATAACCATGACTTTATTATATTTATTTAATAAATATTTTTAATTAGTTAAATATATATATTTGAATTTTGAAGTTTCAAACTATCTACCTGATTTTTGAATTGGTGTAAATATTACACCTTGACTATGAATTTTTCCCTATTTCATATTCTAATTTGGCCCATAAGATTGGCTCATAGAACAAGACACACTCCGCTGGAATTGTTGGAAAGCCATCTATTAAGTTTCCGACGTGCCTTAAAATCAAAATTTTAAGTTAAGACAAAAACAATAATGAATTTTAATCATATATTTTATGAGATCCACAAGTTTTTAGTCATATATTTCTTCAAATTTAATCCAAATTTACTAAAAATTTTATTAATATCTACAAACTGCTAGAATTTTCTATGGGTTTATATACAAATCCTGTTAGGTAGATAGAGATAGTAATCGAGCTGAGTAGCTCACCGGCTCTGCTCGAAAAAGCTTGACCCATGGGTGGTTCAGATTCGTTTCAAAACGAACCCGAGCACGAGCCAAGGCGAGCCCACGAGCTAGGTTTGTGGCTCATCGAGCCAAACAGTTGCTTACTTTTTTAATTAAAAAAAATAAAGTGATTGTTTGGTCACTTTTAAAGATTTGTGACCCTTTTTTAACGGTCTCTAAAATTTAATATTTTTTTCTTGTATAAATATGTCAAAACTTCACCAGTTTTCTCAGAACAAATTCAACACTCTCTATACTATTTTTTTATTATTCAATTTCTTCTACAATTTTTCTATTCTATGCAATTATGTTACAATTCACATACACATACACATACACATACATTCATTATTATATAATTTACATACATTCTATAAGTTTAATTACATTCAATTCTACTATATACATTCTTTTAATTATATTATCTATACTATTCATTATCCAATTTATAAATTTCATATTTATTCATAATACACATGGATCCTCGTAATTTTCATGGAAGGCTTGTTTAGTGGCCAATCACCTATGACACCACAATCTCAATTTTTTCAATCAATTTGTTGGTTTCAATGACGTCCCGATTCTCAATGATTAGCTGGGAATGGGCGGCAATGACGATGCTTGTGGTAGTAATAATTCAATTGACTTGGATGATATCGATGAAGACACTGACGAGACCGAAATACAAATTCCCGATAC